TCTGCCTTAAACTCCGTTCAGACCTCGAAACCCCAACAGAAGTAAAAGCTAAGCTTGAAAGAAAGCCGAAACCTTAAAAGTAGTAAACCCAGGCCGACGCCCTGAAAGGAGTAAACCCAGACCGAAACCCTGAAATAAGAAGGCCCAATCCCTGAAATGTGAAACTCATGTGAGCCCCATGCTTGTGCATATGTAAGCATTGCTTCACTCGACTTGTGCGATTGACAGCCCTTTTGCGATCAAGGGAAAAGTCTTTCATGGTAGCGGAGCTGCCTTAGGCACTCCGGGGACTCCCTTAGTATTAGGCCCCAGGCCTTTTGGTGCCCTACGTTTCACCGGATAATAGCGCTTTTCGTCTGCAGTTGCACTTTGCTGTGCCTGCAGACACAGGAGGCTGCAACTTCGGTTGCCCACCTGCAATCCCGATATTTTCTCGTAAGACCTCCTGGTGGCGAGGCGGAGCCGGAACACTTTTCTTTCAGTGCGTGTGGGCTCGGGAAGCAGTGGTGCAGCGTCAGCGCTTGTGGGCTTGGAAGGCCATATTTGGGCATCAGTGCTTGTGGGCTTGGGAAGCCGCAGTGGATACAGCGATTGAGTTTTCCTGGCTGGTGGCAACTGGCTGGAGGCTTGGCTGGGGAGTATTTACCCTTCGGCCAGGTGAGTGGAGCAATGGCGCAGAGCACGCAGGATGCAGCAAATGGAGCCGGAGGCCTGAAATCCCAGATGCAAGAGCAAGTGGACACAGTTGTGCGCCAGAGGCTTGAGCAAGCTTTTGGTTCTGTGTTTGGGAAAGTTTTGGCGGCCACCCAAAGGGCAGCAGAGGCCGCGGAGAAGCAGGCAACAGCAAACAAGACGGAGGGCGTCACCAAAGCCCTCAAACTCGAAGCGTGGAAGCCAGGCTCAAGGGAGGATGAGCTGAAGACCTGGCGCGAATGGAGCTTTCAGCTGAGCACTTGGCTGATTGCACACGACGAGGAGTATGAATCCGATTTGGATTCTATTGATGTTGATGTGGCTGTGGACCACGCGCTGCTGGATGGGCCGGCCGTGGCGAGGTCGCAAAAGCTCTTTGGTGTTCTTTGCAACGTGCTGCGAAACAGGCCCTTGCTTATTGTTCGTGCCCAGGAGAAGGAGAAGAATGGTTTTGAGTGCATTCGCCTGCTGCGCCGGGAAATGGAGCCAAAGGAGCGATCACGCTCTTTGGCAATTGTCCGCCAGCTGGCGGCATGGACCTTCAAGGAAGGAAACCTCCACGAGCAAATCATAGCCTATGAGGACGCGGTCAAGGGCTATGAGAGCTCCTCGGGCAAGTCGTACCCGGAGGACCTCCAGATCGCTACGATCACCGGCGGTCTCAAGGAGCCTCTTCGAAGCCAGGTGCAGCTGCGGATGACAAGCAGCACGCGGTACTCGGACCTGAGGGAATGGGTGCTGCACTACGAGGCCATTAATACCCCGTGGTCCTCTTCGTTGCCTACCCGACCTGGTGGCGGCAGGGCCCAAGACCAAGGGCCGGCGCCAATGGACATCGACCGCATCAAGGGCAACAAGGGCAAGGACCCCAAGGGGAAGGGAAAAGGCGACAAGGGCAAGAAGGGCAAAGGCAAGGACGGCAAGCACGACAGCGGCAAAGTCAAGTGGAGCAGCCAGACCGACCAGTGGAAGTGGAACAGCCAAAGCGACCAGTGGAAATGGAACAGCCAAGGGGACCAGTGGAAGTGGAACAGCTGGAAGCCAGAAGGACCCAAGCAGCCAAGCGAAAGGCGGCAAAGGCGGCAAAGGCGGAGGAAAGGGAAAGCCCGGGACCTGTCACTTGTGCGGCCAGACAGGGCACTGGAAGAACGAGTGCCCCAACAAAGGTGGCAAAGGAGTCCGGCAAGCGGAGGAGACGGGCAACCTTGGCAGCAGCTGGGGTTCCAAGCAGAGCACCGCCTCCACGAGCGCAAGTGCAGTCAGGACCCCCTCGACTGTGAATCAGGTCTTGGCTGTGAGGTTTGAGGAGATAAGCACCAGGCTGGGCACACCACCCCAGAGCTATGACACCGTGATCTATGACATGACCGAGCTCGACAGCGACCCTGGGGAGTTCAGCCTGGAGGGCCTTAACGCCTTAACATAATGATGGTTCGGGTGGCCAAGGACCCAGAGCACTACCTGCTGGACAGCTCCGATGGCGACGACGAGTGGACCTACAGCCCAGAGGCAGCCCAGGAAGGGCTAAAGAACAGAGGGGCGGGAGTGTTCATGGTCAAGGCAGCCCGGGCGGATGCAACCCAAACTCCTTCGCTTCAAGCGGCACGGCACGCCGCAGCCGCCGTCAGAGTGCAGATGCAAGACGCCCAAGGGAAGCAGATTGTGGAGGATTGCACCACTTCCCTCACCATCACCACGCAAGACAATGACGGCAACGAGGTGGTGATCCGGGAGAAGTTCGCAATTGCTGCCGTGAACTCGGTGATCCTCTCCCTGGGCCGTCTTCTTCGTAGCGGGTGGCTGCTTGGACAAGGCCCAGACGGGCCAGTGATTACTCGAGGCGGGCGCCAGGTGCCAATCTGGCTGAAGCGGAACACCCTTATGCTCACGGCTGTGGTGTCAACCATCTTGGCCTGCGACTCGGGTGCTCTTCCCCCGGAAGCCGAGGAGGCAGTGCAGCAGCCAGGCTGGGCAATACTTCCATCAGGCCTTCCCTTGCTGACCCTCCACAACACAAAGAACGTCAGCCTGGAGGCTTCACTCTGGGAGGCCGACGATTGGAGTCACATGGCAATGTTCGTGAGGAAGGAGCCTGCGAGTCGGAAGCCCCAAGCAGGTGATGTTTGGATGCAGGTCATGTCTGGACCTACTTTGCTATTCCCCAGCTCGGGGAAAGCCCTGGCCGAGATTGAGCCTGAGCTGGTGGATTCCCACCCACGATGTGGCCGTGCTCTTCCACGTGGGCGAGCTTGGGGAGAACTTGCTGAGCAACCCGGGGGATTTGTTCAAGGAGCCGGCAGCTGATGAGCCGATGGTTGCCCCAGCAGAGCAGCAGCATGAAGAGGACGATGGGAGTGGAGTTTGGGCCGAGAGGGACGTTGCTGGCGCAGCCCCAGACGAGGGCGAGGGAGACAACATGATTGATGATATTGAGTTGTCCCTTGAGACCCCCCTCCATGTTCTCAAGGACTTGTGCCGACGTCTGGGACTTGCAACCAGCGGCTCCAAGGCAAAAGTTCTGCGGCGCCTCCGTTCTCACAAGGAGGTTCTCGCAAAGCAGCTGGCAACAGAAGTCGCAAAGAAGATGTTTGATGAAAGCGAGCGGGACCCAAGCATTCCCGCCACACCGGTCCTGCCCAGTGCTCGCCAGCAAGCCTTGCATGCAGTGACGCACCAGCCTTTTGCGGCTTGGTGCCAGGCCTGTGTTCTTGGCCGCAGCCGCCAAAGCCCGCACAAAGACAAACCGCAGCCCAAGGAGAACGTGGAGGAGCAAGAGCCAGAGAAGCGGCACGTCTTCCAGATCGACTACTTTTACACGTTCACCAAGGAGCGTGGGGAGGAGGAACAGCAGCAGCAGCCAGGTGAAGAGGCAGAGGCCGAGCCAGCCAGCAAGGAGGAGCAGGAAGCAGAGGCCGAGAAGCCCGACTATCGGGACCAGTTTGGGCTGAACTTGGTGGCTGGAGAGTCCACCACTGGGTGGATCACCACAGTGCCTGTGTTGGCCAAGGGGAGCACGACCCTGAAGAGAGTCGCGGAGACATTGGTCAGAACGACAATGCAGATAGCAGGTGCTGAAGATGTGGTGCTCCAGTCCGACGCCGAGCCAGCAGCCAAACAGGTGGTGCACGCGGTGCAGGCGTGCAGGGTGAGGCTGGGCCTCAGAACTGTGCCTCGTTTTGTTCCTCGGGCCTCCCATGCCTCGAACGGTGTTGCAGAGAAAGCGGTGAGCACAGTGAGGAGGCTGGCGCTTACTTTGAAGGCCCATGTGGAGGACCGAGCGAAGATCAAGCTGAGTGGCCAGATGCCTCTCTTTAGCTGGATCATGGCCCACGCGGCCTTCCTGCACAACCGCTTCTTCACTACGTGCAAGGGTCTTCCCCCATATGAAGTGGTCCATGGAAGGCGCTACCGTGGACAGCTTGTGCAGTTTGGTGAGTGCTGTGTGGGGTTTTATCCCACCAAGTACAAAGGAGACCTGCAATGGAGGAAAGGAGTGTGGGCCGGGATCAATGAGAAGAATGGGAGCCACATACTCTTGAGTGACACCGGCGCCTTCGAGACCCTTCGCCGGCTACCTGAAGAAAGCCAATGGGTGGCCGAACAGATCGTCACAGCGAAGGGGCTTCCATGGGACTATGGTGGAAGCACAAGGCGCAAAAGAGCTTTGTATACCTCTCGTGCGCCCGTGGTGCCGGATTCCACGACCTTAGAGGAACTCGCCAAGGCGGCCGGCCGAGCCGCGGCAGAAACCATTGCAGCAGCTACTCCTCGACCGGCTGGGCCTGATGAAGCTGGGTCGGACCCTTCTTCGTCGACCTCAGACAGCAGCAGCCCAAGAAGCAGTGGCGGACCACCAACCACAAGAGACACACATG